CCGTTCTGTAGCTACGGGGTATCCGTAAGAGGAGAAACGATCTCTCGATGTTTTTCGTAAAAAAACAGACGACGCCAGTAGCCAATAAATGAGTGGGCGGAGCGATTTGCGGTGACGCACTCGTCAAATCGACGTATAAAATATATTGCTGTTTATTTAAATGTTTTTTGTCCGCATTCCTTTCATAGACACAGATCCAGCAGATGTACTGTACATTGTGTGTATTTCGATTGTTGCTTTGAATTGAAGGGAGAATTTAAATATGTAATAATATACGGGGGTTCTATTCAAAAAAATGAAACTTTGATGTGCCACGACTTTAAGAACGACCCTGTATACTTAAATTTATTACTCGCTAATAGATATTTAAAAATCCTATAACTTTTGTATTTAACTATTTGCAGTACCTCCTATATTTTACCTAATCGACCGATTCCATACATAAAAGCGACCCTGTATAACGTAGTTTTAGTCAAAAACGTTTTTGACTAAAACTGTTTTGTTCTTTCTGTGTGCGTCCAGCCTTAAGACTTTTAATCGAATATAGGTACTCTATCTTTGCTATATTTCATCTAAGATTTAAACCTCTTTTCTGGTAAGTATTGCATTTAATTTCACTAGAACTTGCTTCTTTTTAGCTCATTTAGGTTTCGTTTGCGAGGCTTGTCACAAGTACTACAAAAGGAGGAGTTCCTTGAGGAACCACTTACGTTCCGAATGCGGGAAAGAACCCGGGCTATTTTGCCCGACCTGTGGGTACAGAACCAACATCAAATGTAATTTCAGACGTCATCTGATGCGACATGGTATGATTTTTGACGAAAAGCTGGGAGCTTTTGCAAAAATACATGAACCAAAAAGGACAGCAGATTCTGTTTAGGTTGGAACTCCATAAAACACATGAAAATGGGAAACCCTGTACAGGGTGAGCCAAGTTGGACGCTCTTAAAGGAAGACACCGTTTTCTATAAGAGAGAGACGAAAACTAATATCGGTGTCTGGAGCTCAATTTTTATCAAAAACATGATGGTGAAAACCGCACATCGATATCTGTTACCGTTTCGAAGTTACGGGGTGTTTTTCAAAAATGTGCATTTTAAACAAATAGCTGTAACTTTTTTGCTATGGAAAATTTTGTATTTTTGTGAAAATATTTCTAAAGCACCTTTTTACGCAGAATTTAATGGTTTAAGTATGATTTCTTTTAAATTAATAATTTAAGAGTTATCAACAGAAAATTTGATTTTTTATATGGGACACCCTGTATATTTTTAATCCATTGAAAATAATTTAGAATTACCTTTCCAAAAATATGGCATACTTGATATTTTGCTCGATTCCTCTTCGAGATATAGAGTTTTTAAAAAATGGCTCACTTTGAATAAGTAGACTTTGAACGGCGCGGCGCCGGCGCACAGTGCTTCGAACATATGGCTTTAGGGGACAAAAATGCAAAACTTCTCTTTTATTGTAGGTAATTTATTCAAACTATGTTTATTTGACACAAATGATGAGTACTCTCATTGTACTAAATGATGATGTTTTTAGTCCCACGTTTATGAAAAAAAATCTTATAAATAATAAAAATGTTGGAGCTGTGTTCCATCTAAGGAAATAATAATTTATAGTATGAAAACGGTGTAAGTATTAAATAAATCCTTGTGATAAAAAAGAATTGAAATAACATTAGAACATGATTCCTACAATATAAGCCTAATATAAAATAAAAATGTTTTTCTTTAATGAAAAAGAAACATTAATGTTATCTTTAATTAAAAAAAAACTTAAGATACTATAAATTTACTTTAGGACAACAAAATGCATAGATCGTAACTACTCTGATTCAGAAGAATCACTGCTGACAGAATCTTCCAAATTTATAGTATCCAAATCACAGGTAGATGAAGTATCCTCACAGATATTTCTGTACAAGATATTTCTGTACATCATTTTCTAATATATGTTACTTGTTCGCGTTGTTACTGTTCTTTTTGTTGGTGTGAGGGGTTCGGATGTTAATAGTTACCTCTTTAACAGACCATATCCATATATTATTTTTCCTTTTCTTGGGTATGAGGTTTTATAATAAATTGAAAGATGGAAACTTTTTTATGCGACGTTTCGCTCCAACATAGTGGGCTTTTTCAGGCACAAGTGGTATCTCATTTGACTGGAAGGTTCATCAATATCTAATAAAGAACACATTTTTTGAAATACAAATAATTTTCAGTTCTTGTCCTTATGATCAAGCCAAGTATTAACCAGATCGGCATTGCTTATCAATTTTACTCCATCTGAAAAGTATTATAAAATAAAGTTCGTCGCAAGCAGACGCAGGTGAACTATACAAAAATTAAAAGTATATGAATATGACAACAAAAATGTTCAATAAATACGATATGTTTTTTTTAAATGCCTTTTTGAAGTTTGAAAGCGTAACATTTTTATACCCATTTAAGAATCATCTTAAAAAATAAATAAAAACTAAGCAATCCCGAACTTGTTTAGAAATAAATTTAAAGTACATACCTTGTTTAACAATATCCATAGTGGCTTTCGATTAAGTACGTACCGTTTAACTCCATAATATACAGAAGTACTATGAATGTTATTCTTTTCACTGATAAGATAATGATAAACAAAAATTATTTTTAGTGAAAATATTTGCTAACAAAAAACGCTGTTTATGAAAAATAATATACAGGATGGTTGAACATTGCTATAAGTATAAAATGACATATTCAGATATTAGTAAAGTTTAACTTTTTTTTTCGATTTTTGTCCATGGGACGAAGCACTGTGCGGCGCCGCGCCCGCTGTAATGCAAAAAAATTCTAGCTGTGAACAGTAATTAAAACGAAAATAATATTTACAATGAGAGATGCAGAATTTTATAACAATTTAAACTATATTTAACAACATCAACATAATATTTAAACTATATCTAATAACAATAAAAATTAATCGCAAACCAAGACATGAGATTTTCCTAGAGGTGTTCGACATGTCGACCGTCTGGATGACGTTATGGACAGACGGGACCGTTTTTGGACATTTCTCGCGGAATTCATTAACGTAGTAGGGGTGAAAGATGTCCACGCATAGCCGCTAACCGCTAAGTACTTCTAATTCTTATCTAGATTACACAGGCAATTTAAAAATAAGAACCTTTATTCTTCCCCAAAGATAAAAAGTCCGGCGGCCTCGACGGCCAACGGCCGGGATCTTGGTTAGCTATTAAATTAATATTCTCGAAATTGGCTGCAAAAATTTGCTGATAACTTCAGCGTTCTGAGGCGGTTTCTCGTCTTGCTGGAAAAATATGTTTTCGACTTTCATTAGGGACAGATCATCAATAAGGGGTCCAAAGTCTACTTAATTATTCAAAGTGGGCAAATTTTTAAAAACTATATCGATATATCTCGAAGAGGAATCGAGCAAAATATCAAGTATAGGATATATTATACTATATTTTTGGAAAGGTAATTTTAAATTCTTTTCAGAGAATTAAAAATATACAGGGTGTCCCATATAAAAAATTAAATTTTCTCTTAATAATTCTTAAATTATTAATTTTACAAAAATTATACTTAAACCATTAAATTCTACGTAAAAGGTGCTTTGGAAATGTTTTCATAAAAATACAAAATTTTCCATAGCAAAAAAGTTACACCGATTTGTTAAAAATGCACATTTTTGAAAAACTACTAAAGGGTAAAAGATATCGATGTACGATTTTCACCATCATGTTTTTGATAAAAATTGAGCTCCAGACACCGATATCAGTTTTCGTTTATATTTCGTCATCTCCTATAGAAAAAGGTGTTTCCCTTTAAAAGCGTCCAGTTTGGCCCACCCTGTCCAGTAATGTAATAATTATTTGAATAAAACATTCAATTAAATTGTTTCAGCAATTCATCAATGCGAGGTTTGTCACAAAGTTTATAGACACAGAAATTCACTAATTTTTCACAAGAGAAACCAATGCCAACTGACTTCAGTGTATTCTTGCGATTTTTGTGGAATGAAATGCAAGTTACAAAAAAGTCTCAAAATACATATTGAAAAATTTCATAAATCACGAAACAACAGTCATACATACATATAAAAAATGTATTAATTAATAAATCTTATTATTTTCAGATTATTATTTTCCTGACATAATAGTTTTTTTTTTTTAACAACTCATTCATTAAAATATTTTTAGTCTATCCAACAACAAGATCCCTGACAGTGAGAAGAGTAACTACCGTATGATCGAAAAAAAAACGGCGTCCAGTTGGCTGGGAAATGAACATCAATGACATTTCCCATATAAATTTACATATAAAATGACAGCGATTTTCATTCCATAGCCATCGCTGACGCCGTTTTTTCTCGATCATACGGTATAATGTAATAGTGTCTGTCATTTTAATTCAATAGCAAATTGTATTTCCTGTCATTTTTTGAATTTCGTCTGTCAAAATCTTCCCTGATTTGTTGGACAGACTGTAGTACATAGTAGTTGTTTTAGATTAAAAATATTTTGTGATATTATTTAGATGGTTTTTAAAAAATATATTTAAAATAAAATACAGATAATCACGTTAAGACTTGTATTTAAATATCATCTTAAAAAAAATATGAATTGGTTGGGTGCAAAACGCTGTACAAAGAAAAATAGATATAGATATCAAATTCTTTTAACGTTTCCTTTAGTGTTGTTCGTATTTAACCACATTCTGAATAAAAAAAATATATCTTTTTTAGATTATCCCTGTATCAGATGGAGATGTCCAACTTGTACAAGATCGTACAAAAACAAAAATCATTTGACTAGACATTTAAGGCAAGAATGCAATGTAGCTCCACAGTTCTTGTGCCCGATATGTTCGAAAGGCTTCAAACATAAGCATGTACTTATGAAACATATTCCCCTTCATTCCAAACAGAATCATCACTAATTATTATTTTTTTATTAGTCTATTTATTTCTCATGAATAAAAAATAAAAAATTAACTTTTTGTATTTATCGTATTTCATAAATTAAACCACATTAGCTTTCAGTATAATTGGATCATCAAAAGGTAAAGAAAAACGTGAAAAATATCTTAATAAATTATTTATTTTCTTCACTGCCCGATACTTCTACAACCTTCTCTGCAACATCTGATTCAGGTTCTGAAGAACAAAATGCTAACAAATTATACTTCTTTAATTTAATAAAATTTGGCGCAACCCCTAGGCATGCAAAACCTCTAATTATTTCTATAACAATTGACAATTCTGCATTTTTCAGATCAACTTTATGTTCTAAATTATTTTCCTGTCCCATTTTTGACACCATGTTAGCAAGACTTTCAATAACATCGTCCCGAGACACAGAGTTGTTATTTCTGTGATTAAACACAATTGAAAACGTTCTGGGTTTTTCAGAAAAATACTTAACACACAGTGTTTCAAAGCTCTTTTCAATGTCCTTCATATAGGCCTTGCATGTTACTTCAATAGGTACCAATCGGAGCAAGAATTTTGTTCCTTGACTCTTGTTCTCAGATAAATCATTCAAAATACTTTCAGCTAACTTAACTGGATCCTCTACTGTAGTTTTTATAAACAGAAAGTTTTTGGCTCCCGATTCAACAACTTGGAATCTCTTTTCATTCTTGTCGTTTTTTAATTCTTGAAGTTCTTTCTGTAAATCGTCTTCAATCTCATTTTGAGAAGACGTGGACTGGGGAATATTAGCTGGCCACAAAATATCTGCGTATTTGTTTAGTATATTGTAGGCTTCTCGAATGCAATCTTTTTCCCTGTTATTACAACTGCATAAGAATCCTTTTTGGTTTACATCCAAATTGTAACGCCTTCTTGAACTTTTCTTGCTATATTGTTGTCTATATTTTACTTTCTCTATTTTACTCATTTTCTTGCTAAAAAAGAGTGAAAATATTTACTCAATTTGAATACAATCATTAATTATTAATTAATTAATAATTGACAAATATGTCAAAAGTCAAAATTTCAGACCGATCGCCATCTATTTGACAGTATACTAATTACTTTTAGGGATGGAAAAAATATATCGATAAATTTTTGTAAAATGTATCGATATTATTCGTAATATTTTATATCAATATGATTTGAATATCTAATCTTTTCTTTGACATACACTAACTTATACACTTTTTTATACTAGGACTATGGCGTAAAATACACACTAGCGCAATATGCACGGATATTATAAGATTTGTTTCGATTTCGATACGATTTTTAAAATATATCGATCTATTTTTAAGTTTTACCAGCCCTAGTTAAATGTCAGATCCACTGCCATCTAGATACCAGTAGACTATATATGTATGGAATAATTTCATATATTGAAGGTTTCTTTACCATCGATTTCAATTGTCACTTGTCACTCTCTTGTCAAATAAGATCAAAACAAAAAAAGTTAACATCTGTCAAGGAAATTTGCACTAAAATAAAATTTTAAAAGAGTATTTTAACAAATTCATTTAAATAAATTGTTATGGAAGTGCGACTGGACTGAAAAATGGGATTCGAAATCAATAGATTTCAAGGAGATGTCGATGAAGAGTTAATTTGTCCTATTTGTTCAGCTGTTCTGGAAGACCCCCTACAAGTAAGTTTTTTGGCATTATGATAATTAGACACAATTATTCCAAAATTTCTCATTACATTTACAAAATCTTAATATATTTTATGAAATTTCCTCTTCCTGTTGTAATACTCGTTTTATAACACCTTTAATTTCATTTGATTTAATTATTGTTTATATAAGACACTTATGTTTTATTTCAATTTAACGTGTTATAAATTATAATATTTTAGGCTCCCGAATGTGAACATGTTTTTTGTAAAGCATGCATAACTCAATGGATATCTCGACAACCCACTTGTCCTGTCGATAGGCAAAATCTAACTTCCGCACAACTCACACAAGTTCCCAGAATTCTAAGAAATTTATTGGCAAGGTAGGTATTAAAACAATAGATTGTATAGTAAAAAACATTTATGTTAAAAAACATATTTAGTTGCTTATGAAATAAAGAGAGAGAAAAAAATCAAGGATGGCATTGATATGTATTTCATAACATTTATACAATAGGAAATTATCAATGGTACAATGCCTAGAAATCATGTAGGTTTCATGCAATTAAAATTCTAATCGTATTAAAATATTTTCACAAAGAATTCATTATTATTGCCAAAGAAATTAGCATTTAGCATATAGGAAATAAATATTTTATGTTACATTACAATGTAAATTACATATTTCACTAGTTTAATTAATAAATAATATTAGAAAACTTATATCTAAATTATTTTAAGTAATTACTAGATTTAAATGGCAGTAACTTGTTTAATTTAAATAGAACACTCAGTCTCTAGGTTTTTAGTCCCCGCTATCTCGTGATAATCTACCCCGATAAAAAATAAGCTTGTGGCAACACTGGGTTACAGTTGAGGGTTGGAACCTTTGGTGTTAAGTTGTGATAATATATTATAACACTGGGTAACAATCTGTGCCATACGCGGCTAAGAAAAACACTGTAATAAACATTTTTTAAAGCATATTTTCATCGATAGGTTTGTAGCTTCTGAATAACGATCTAGGTAAAGCATCTAGCTCATTTGTCAGCTCAGAATTAGAATTTAGAGTTAGTAACTTGCATTTTCATTGAAGAACACTGTCATATTTATTTCAAACCAATAATCAACGAGAAAATTCGTATGACTTAATAAAATTACTGTAAATCACTATAAATAATGAATTGTTTGTAATTGTACTGTAATTTCTGTATTATTAATCCGGTAAATGATGGAGAGAAACAATTGTGATTGATTAACATTTTATTTTAAGATGAAACATTCTGAGAATTCGAATGATGAATTGAATAATGACAATACAAGTGTCATCTGTCTAAAAAAGACAGCGATTTAGAGTAACAATTTGGTTATGTAACATTTAGAGTGACAATTTTGATTATGCAAAAGCAATACATATTCTATGGGTTTGCCTAAAGATTAACATTAATTTAAAAGTAAATCTCCAACATGAATCAAGAACAAAACATTTAAACAAAAATAGACCACGGACCACACAAAACTATCATTTTTTAATAAAAATAATAAAAAAACATTAAAAAATTATAAAGCTAGAATAGCATACGGTTTTACATTAACTCTAATTTTTTTGAAGTTTATAAAAAGAATTCATAAAAAAAATATACAGGGTGCTACAAATTCGAGGTACGAGCATTGGTATCTCGGAAACCGTAATAGATACGAAGATGGTTAAATTGGCGCAAAGTTGCGCGTTGAGATGTTCACCAAAATGCCCTCAAAAAAGTTTTAAAAATTTCAAGGATTGCAGAGTTTTTTGGAAAATCAATTTTGTTTTTTCCTGTCGTTACTTTTTAGAAAATAATAAAAAACTAATTACACATTCTCATAGCCACTTTATTAGGGCTATCTCATGGTACAAAGAATACAAGGTATGATATTGCGCAGGTTGGTCGCTACGTCACAGGTGATAACAGGCGCTATTGGTCAGCACGCTCCGCGCGCCAGTTCAAATCGTCAAGGTATTGTTATAAACCTGTTTTTTTGTTTATATACCGTCAATGAATTATCGCTAAGCAAGTTACTGTGGAGCAGTGCGTAAGGAGTTGGGCTAGGAAGCGAGAGACCGTAGTTCGAATCTCGGCGGGACATAACTTTTTTTTTTTAAATACTGTTGTATTCTATAGTTTATTTTTGTAGTATAAAAGAAAGAACTATTTATTCTGTTATTTTTTAATCTGCGGTATTAATATAAATTGATTGTTGGTACAATACCTCATTTAATATAAAATAATATTCTACTTTTTGAAATGTATCTGGCCCTAATTGTACCTAAAAGTAATATATTTTTACAGTGATATACCATATTGTAAACTATTTAATATTTCAGTCACTTAAAAAGTTAATTTGCATTGAATAATTGCCTACGATCAAAGGAAATTTGAGCTATATAATCCTTGATGGGCATATTCTGGGTATGCAAATACTTCCTCTAAATTTTGGGTTTCGTTCAACCGATTTATTCTCAAAACCTGAAACATCTACATATAAAAAGAAGCACCAGATCACTAATTATAATAAACTTCACCCTTGGAATTACTTCTATCACAATTACAATACATTCATCTGCATTGGCATTTTCTATTTTTAGATGGGAAACAATATAATTCCCAACATTTTTTAAATGATGTAACAATTCCTCTTGTGGTTACTTTTCCATAGATATCCTCATCTCTGTCCTCATGTGAATTCAGAGGCAATGAACATAAAAATTATTTACCATAAACATCGCAAACTAAAAACCTAATAAACAATTTTATACCGAATATAGAAATAAATTTAGTATTCTTACCTATTATCGTCCAAATCCATGTTAATAGATAATTATTATTTTTAAATATATTTTTGGAACTGCTGGTTTTAGTAATTATTAAATTAAACGAACTAAAAAGTCTTAAAAATGAACAATTCTTAACCATAACCCCAATAAATACAGATCTCCTGTCAACTTTCTTTATTTTTTATTTATTCATTATTTTCCTAGTGACGTCACAGGTGATATGCGCGAACTGAACGAAATTGGAGCCGCTATCGATCATACCTTGTATTCTTTGTACCATGGGGCTATCTGATAGTACTTTAAGATTTTCAAATAAGTTCAAGTACGACTCTGGTTTTTTAAATCATTTAATCTGATTATATTCATCGTAACAATACTGATTAGAGCTAATTAACATTGAATAAGTAAAATCGGGCCAATTGAAAGATTCAAATAAATAATATCCAAGTCAGCAATTTAAAGATATTATTTTTAACTTTTTTTATTGTGAATTTGAAATCTCAGTGTACGATCTAATAATATTCATAATATTAATCGTAGTTATTATAAATATATCAACTTCTACTAATTTCCAAACTAATAATAAACTAGTTTCTAATGCGCTACATGTTCGAAAGGGTTACCATCACCCTCCCTAATGCACAAATGTATTTTTTATTCAATCCTATTTATAGCTCTTTGAACATAACTTCTTGTTATAAAATATATTATTAATATAAAATATATTGTTAATATAAATAATTAATTATATTTATTCCATTTTCCGTATTCAATGTTTTACCCCACATCATTGTTAAGTTTGAAAGCTTATCAGTATTGTAACGATGAATAGATTAAATCTTTAAAAAAAACAGAGTCGGACTTGAAATTAGTTTAAATAAATTACGTTTAAATGTCCGAAACAAAAAAAAAATATTAAGTGTGGCATATCATTGTACTCAGGAGACCGAGTTCTTTCAAAATCTGAAATAAAAAAACAGGTCCGTATTTAAAAAAAATAAGTTGGCCTCTGTATCTCACAAATTATCAGCTAATTTGAAAACCTAAAAATACTATCAAATAGCCCTAATAAAGTGGCAATGAGAATGTGCATTTAGTTTTTTGATTTCCTAAAAAGTAACGCCAGGAAAAAATAAAATTGATTTTCAAAAAAATCCGTTTTTTCCAAAAAACTCAGCAATCCTTGGAATTTTTAAAACTTTTTTGATGGCATCTTGGTGAACATCCTAAAGCGCAACTTTGCCTCAATTTAATCATGTTTGTATCTATTACGGTTACGGAGATAACAATGCTCGTACCTCGAATTTGTAGCACCCTGTATATCCTTCAAATCCTTCACTTTAATAGCTGTTAGCAAGAAGTTTTTTTTTATTTGAAAAAAAAGTTATGGTGATGAGCCATTTTTGAGAAACCAAAATAGAAGAGATTTGTTAATAATTCACCATTATTTTAGGCTGACCATTAGCTGTGACAACGCTCAGTATGGTTGCACTCGCGTTTTAAATCTAGATACTTTAAGTACGCATTTAGAAGAATGTGAGCACAACCCTAAAAGGCCGGTCCTGTGCGAACAGGTAGTAATAAATATGCTTCTATTGTGATTTACATGACTCTACAATTTTTTTTCAAGGGTTGTGCTTTAGTAATTCCAAAAGACGAACTGAAAGACCACAATTGCATCAAAGAATTGAGGTCGCTCATCACGAAACAACAACAGAAAATGAACGAGTATCAGCACGAATTTCACGAACTTAGGTTCTTTATTCTAGAGCAAAGAAGAGAAATGCAGTTACTAAAAGTAATTTACTTATTTTTATTTTATTGTTAATATAAATATTACTCTTTTTTTTTCAAGGACTTTATGAGAGCTCTAAAAACGTCGAATCCTTCAATGAGAGCCATAGCGGATGCTATGGATAGAGATGCTCAAGATAGAGAAGTCGTGAGGTGGAGTAATTCATTGCAAAGAGCTCGAGTAACTAGGTGGGGTGGAATGATATCTACGCCCGACGATGCCTTACAGGTGAGTGGAAATTTCAAAATTTTGTATACTTTTTTTTTATTTCGTATGAGAAGCACAAATACAGGATATGTGAATACATTTTATAAACATACACAGAGATAAGCATATATAAACAAATAAATAGTTGTAAAAGAAAAAAGAAAACATGCATGAGAAATATAAGGACTTAAAAATATTACAAGTATATATAAAACATATATGTACTCAAGGACAAAATTTACATTAAACATTTATATTGAGGTTATTTATCCAGTCAATTGCCGAAGAAGTAGCGCAAAATAAGTTCTGGATGCCGCCAGGAAAGGCTCTGGGTGGACATTCGGTCAGAATGTGTTCCATCGTTTGTCGTGGAGCGCCACAGTCGCAAGCTGGTGAGTCTTCAATTCCCCATTTATGAAGCATATCACGGCATCTGCCATGACCCACCCTAAAACGATTTTGACGACTCCAGGTATGACGAGGAAGGTCCATGCCCGGGAGGGCACCCGATATATCGGCAACTAAGTTCAAGTTGCGTGTTCCCAGACTGCCAGCCACAAGCTCGTTCCATTTGGAGTGCGTGTTGTACTCGCTCTTAAGTTCGTCGTCCATCCAGATTGGGTTGCGGGATTTGAGGCGCTTAGAAGGAGGAGGATTGATAGACAGTTGAATAGGTAAGCCGTCTTGGGTGGAAGCCTTCATCCATTCCTTTTGTGCCATAGCTGTTCTGCGAATTTGAGGGGGGGCAATATTCGCCAGGATCGGGAGCCATACTGTTGGGGTTGATCTTAATGTCCCAGTTACAACTCTCATAGCTTCATTGAGCTGCACGTCGATTTTATACGCGTGGTGACTTTTGTACCATACCGGTGCACAGTACTCTGCCACAGAGTAAGTTCGAGCCAGCGCGGCAGTTCTGAGTGTGTTTCCATCCGCACCCCACGAAGTTCCTGCGAGTTTACTCAAGATATTATTTCTGGATTTAATTTTCTGTGCGCTTTTTGTAATGTGCTGATTATAGGATAAAGTCTTGTCCAACGTGACACCCAAATATGTTGGGCATTGGTTGTGTCTAATTCTTTCTTCCCCAAAATATACATTCAGTTCCTCTCCAGCTAACCTATTCGACAAGTGAAATGCCCCAGTTTCCGATTTTAGCGGGTTGGGCATAAGGCACCATTTCTTGTAATATGCATGCAGTATTTCAAGATCTCGCGTAAGCTGGTTGCCGCCTGTTTCCAAGGACTGATGTTGTGTAGCCAGTGCCATGTCATCTGCGTATATAAATTTATGAGCCGTAGTTGGCGGGACGTCATTTGTATATACGTTGAAAAGAAGTGGAGCGAGTACTGACCCCTGTGGGAGACCATTATTAAATTTTGTATACTAAAGGCTGGCAAAGGTGAGTCTTGGGTCGAGATTTCCGTATGTAAGAAGAGTACAATGCGTTTATAATGTACTGAACAAAGAGAGAACGGTAAAAACGTTGCCAAACGCATGAAATAAACCGAGAAACTATACACATTGGTAAGAGACGTGGAAGGGGATATAGCAGGTTCGTCGCGGTCGACCCAATCAGTACCATATCAGTACTAAAAATACTAGGGAACAGGGCACATCATGCGTGTTCAGTTTCACGATTTAATTACGTCTCGTGATACTTTATTTGTTTATTTATTAATGAGTCGTTGTAATTTTCCTTATAGCTTGGAAATTTTTAACTGCAAGTTAGAAATACTTGCACTTTTGATAAAAATAAGTGGAATTGAGTTGGTGTTCGATAATGGTCGTGCTATTAGAACTCTGAATTTAAAAATCGAGGGATAAGGCTCTCTCGAAATCCATTAAAAATAATTGATTGTAGTTTTTTTTTGTTTCAAAAACTTTCTTAATATTTCTGCTATATTTTCTTCGCTGACAGTATGTGAAAATGTTTATAAATAAAAAAGTTACACGATTGCCGAAAAGCAATGCACTAAAAGTAACTTGGTTTTTTAAAAATTTTGAATGGACAAAAAACAAGCCTATCGAATTTTTCTTATTTAAACATCTTGTAAAAGAGCCGAACTTCAAAATAAAAAAAAGTTTCAATATCTAAAGTAGTTCTTGAGTTATCGCATACTATATATTAAAAAGTTGAGTTTTTAAATTATCGCGATTACTGACGTTTTCTCCGCTATAAAAAAATAGACACCCTAACGATATCCTTATAATTCCATTTCAGATGCTAATCATATCTAACTAAGAACTAAACATATCTAATGATTTTATCTAGTTATCTTTTCGAAAATAGAGTCTTTTAAAAATTTTGCGATCGTGATTTTACTTTACTTGATAAAGGCGTACCGGAAATATGTGGCAACGCCGCAACAGTACACTGTCGCATTTCTCTCACTCCAACCTAATAAAATCCCTATGCGATTTACTTCCACACATGTAAATACCGACCCAAAAGTAACAGTTGCCAGCACCATATACATATAAATCATACCATATAATCTTATAGTCACATAATTAAGCTTGACCGGCACAGCGTTGCCCACTTTTGCATATTTTCTTTTAATCAAAATATTTTAGAAAACAAAAATGAATTAATTATAGATATATAAACAGTTATTATTTACATCAAGAAAACTCACCTCCTTAACAGCACTTAAGGGACATAAAGGGCCATTATTACCGCTTTTCTCGTTCAAAATATTTTAATAAAGTTGCTAACAGTGATTGCAATGAGTTTTTTGCAACGGCTCTGAAGCTGCTTTAGCATCTTGAACACTTCGCACTACTAAAAAAGAGAAATTTTCGACTGCAAGGTCTGCTAGTAAACATGTTTAAGCTTAAAGTATCACAAACACTATTTATTTAAACCAATAACTGCTAATACGAAACTAAAGTGACAAAAAAAAGTTGGCAACAGTGAATTTAATATTGGCGCCCTTGATAACATAACTAAAAGTTTATTTGGTATAGTCTATAAAATGAATAACTTTGAATTTTGACCGTTATTTTTTACCAACATGGCAAATATAAAAGCCCAAAAAGTTACTGATATTCTTTAAAATGAGTGCCTGATCGAATCAGATAGGTAACTCTTTTTACTTTCGTAAAATAGAAAAGGAAAATAATAAAACAGGTGACAGTTCTTCCTCTTCTTGCAAAAATCAACGCAAAATGTCATAATTGACAAAAGCAATGACTAAAGTAAAATGTCATCAGCCTTTGACATTTCTAAATATCAGACCAATGCCGTCTCTAATAGAACAGCCTATGAGCGAGATTTATGACGTCACGCTAGTTAGATACCACGGATTAATAAATATGTTGTAGAATACACGGAAAACATAATTATTCCTCGTACTTTTGGTTTGTATTTTAAATATGATATAGTTTACATGAAATATACATAATATACAGTTAATAAATACAATATATTATATACCTATTTATAGTAATAAATACTTTGACAAATAAACTATGAACCATACAAATGCATCAAATGTTTTACAATATACAAATAATGAATAGGTACATAAGATAATGGGTAATGTGTAAAATATATTTTAAATTTTGGTTTTTGAAAATCGATCTAATTTAACAAAAATATTCAATATCTATTTCACAAAATTTATATGTATATTTTGCAAGCATCAATGTTCGAAAAATTATATTTGCAAATAATACAATATCATAGAAAAAAAGGCGTCAGCGATGGCTATGAAATAAAGATCGCTGTCATTTTATATCTAAAATTATTCTAAAATTTTTTGTTATAGCTAACGTTTATAGCCTTCATCAGTGACATGTCATATGAAAAAAATAGTGTCGAATATAATCCTAAAAATTACATATACGAGGAATAATTATGTTTTCCATCATTCTACAACATAATTAATCCGTAGTATCTAACTAGCGTGACGTCATAAATCTCGCTCCGGGGCTGTTCTATTAGAGACGGCATCAGCATGGCCGCAAGTTGCTAACCTAATAAAATTAACACTAGAAAAGCCCGCGGGAACTGTCAAATCAAAGTTATTCGTTTCACAGATTATATCAAATGCTACATGGTCTTATATCTCTCCACCATTTTAAATAGAACACGTATGTAATTTTTCGGATGTCGCATCGTCTTTCAAAATAATCCTTTCTCTCTTCTGACAGATTTTGTAATCTGTGGACATCGTTACCATAACATGAATGTTCTGTTTCTTTCTCTAGAGGATGATCAAGAGAACACTGACAGAAATGGGCTGTCCCATACATATCCTGGACGATTTGATGGAGAACTGCCACGAATGTAGGTGGCCTCCCGGTCTGTGTTCACTAGAAACCCGTCAAAATAACAGGAGGCAGTATGAAAACTATGTCTGTAAAAGAGTACCAGGTAAGACATATGATTTAATCTTATATAAGAATGCACACTACGGGATCTTGTAAACCAAAAGATAAAAGATGATTAAATTAGAGGAAAGTTGCGCCTTGTTGAACCCTACAATACCATGTTTGGGGATCTAAAAAATTCGATTACTTCCGAATCCCTGAAGCTTGCATTCTTTATGGGACACCGTGTATATGTTACAGTGAAAGTCGGAAAGATATTTATCAACTTTTTCTAGTAATTTCTAACATTCACTAGTGAAACTAACATTTACTAAAGGTTGCCAGTAAAAGTTATTCTATTGTACAGGGCGAGTGTGGTGAAGAAGAATGTTGGTGGAAGTTAGAACAAATAAAACTTTTAAGAATAATGGGTCACCTCAATATTCAAGCTGATCCACATATCTTAAAATTACAATTTACTTCTTTGGTATATTTATTTAAACTGAGAAAATAACGACATAACCTTCTAAATATTAAAAGGAAAATCATAGTAAACATTTTAAAGTGTACAAAACAATTAAAAAAAACCGTTCATAAACATAAGTTTACTTATTGGTACAAGGTTTTTTTTAATAAAGTTCTTCATCGAGGGGTAAACCGCAGAGGAATTATGGTGTACACTATGAAGGAATTCTACAGGAATTCCAAGGAATTACGAGGAATTCCAAGGAATTCCATAGGAATTACTAGGAATTCCAATTGTTTCCGTAAGAATTCCAATGAATTCCAAGGAATTCCTTAGAAATTTAGAGGAATTCCACAGGAATTAAGAGGAATTACAAGCAACTTTATAAAAAATTAACGAACATTAGTAAACCATGAATACTATAATAGGTAGTACTAAATTTAAAGAAAAACGTTTTGCAGACGATTTTTTACTATCCGTTTTTCATTTTCGCTTCCAAAATTTCCCAATATCAAATATCTGCAGGTTAGATATTCTTTTAATTTAATATTGTACCCTCGATTATATATCTAAAATATTTTCCAATAGTACGGCCGAACCACCCCCGAGAGATCTACTTATAACGTTCCCTGATTTCGCCATTTTAAAGAAATCCTCATAAGATTTTTTTATTCAGTACTCAGAAAGTGTAAAGTTGATTTTTTCATTTCCTCGGAATAATACCTAGGTATATACTATAGGGAAATTAATACAACTTTAGGTGCACTTCATCAATGATACCATGCGTAATCTTATGGAATTTACTGGTGATCGTATTATGACGTGCAACTGAAGTTTTATTAATTTCCTTTCCTATAGATACGAGTATAACTAGGTACCTATCATTTTCAAAAATCCTGAGAAAAATTAATTTTAATAAGTACTAAAAAATTTCGTAAATCTCGTAATAACTAAAAGCGTACTTTTTATTGTTAGATCTAGTACTTATAGAGACATTAGACATTTATAAAAATCACCAGAAAATTCATAGCGGAACTGCGAAACCGAGGTGGCAACGCTGGTTCAGACTGAAAGAGTTACCGAGTTCATACCAAGGAATTCCAAGGAAGACCTTGAATGATTGACCTTGACCTTGAAGACCAGGAATTCCAAGGAATTCCGAAGGAATTACGAGGAATTCTGAGGAATTATTTGAGTAAAAGGAATTACGGTGTACGCTTTTTCCTCTGCGGTTTACCCCTCGTTCTTCATAGTGGACATAATAAAGTATGCCCGAATTTTCTTCAACGGGAGTTATTCATTTTTTCAAACCCGCTACTTCAAGCATATCAAAATGTTTAATAAATTCAGTCACTAGGTTCCTTAATATCTTTTTCTCTTGCACGCTTAACTTTGGCTATGACTTCATTATATTGCAAAAATGAAAAACAAGCACTATTACATTCTTGCGAGTGCCTAGTTTACCTTAATTTTTCACAGAAAATTTCTTCTATAGGGAAAATATCGCAGAGCACTTTTTACAACGATAACAAAACAATTATACATAACCACAAAAAACAAAGCGAATTTACGGCAGATGTCTGTCAACGTTGCCAACGTTTAGCCCAATTTAATGTCATCCTTATGCAGCAACCGCACATGCGGCATTTGGCGATCTCCCATCGGGGCTCGGCCGATTTCCTATGTGTGTGGATAGGGAAGTTAGAGTTCGGCGACTCGATCGGCGACGAGAACGAGCGGTCGTCTCTATGTTGTTGCTATCAGAGCTCGGCGATGCCCCCATGTGTGGATAGAAAGGCGAAGTCCGATCACGAGAATCTTTCAAACTCACTGCTATCGTTCAGGGAATGCTAGCATTCGCTAGTAAAAATTGGTTTCAAACATAGCTGTTGAACTTTTACTGGCGTAGTCTTAGCAAATCAGTGAACGTGAGCTTTTACTAGTAATTGTTAACAATCACTGATTTCCAGCTTTTACTGTAACATATATACATTATCTGACAAACGGATCTGAAACAGGCAAAAGGAATACGGACAAAAACAATAGATGTTGTCAAGCGCATAACGTTTTCCTATTGGCCAGTGCACCCCACTTTTATGCTCCTCCCTGGAAATTTTGTTTAGTTAGTCATAATTTTAAATACAAAATATATTAAAACCTTAATATTAATATCTCGTTTAATTATTATACTCTGTAATTTGATTCTGCGTACAGGGAGGCACTGTTTGTGGAACTTTTATTCTTTTAGAATAAAATGAATTTAGATCTTTATAATAATAGCCCTTAACCATACCCCGTTTAACAGAACTATCACATTTTATACCGTTATTTTCTGATTTTGAAAGAGAAGTTCAAGAAATGTAGTTGGATAAATTTAGGTTAGTTTCGCTAATCCCGCGTAACATGTTTTGTGCAATCTGACTAGTCTTCATTAGGCATTTTGCAAAGCGACTGAAAACAGAAAGCATCTTTCCAAAATATTCTTCCATTGTTAAAAACGCCTAGTTAAAAATATGCCTGTTAAAAATACCGGGTGTTGCATCGTCGGACGGGACATAGGAAATCCCATGTAAATTTTAATGGGGTCAATTATTGGCTTCCCTAATTATTTTAGAGAATAATTCTATTTAGTATATTTATTATTTAGTATATTTATTATAATACTATTTAGTTTTATTGAAGACCACTAAAACCCACATTCAAAAGAATAACTTTAGATATTTTTGATTAGCTCGTTTACGAGTTATCGCCGATTTCTTTTTAAATATTTCTCCTTTCTTATGGCTTTGTATTTACTTATGAGCACCAGTCAAGGCAAAAGATAACTGTCAAATGAAGTTGTCATTTCAGAAATTTACCTATTTAGTGCTTTATTATTATTGAAAACTCATTCCTACATCGGAAATCTTAAAGATGTATTTATAAATACAAATTAATGTGAATTAAAGTAAAATAAAGTAATTAAGATGTTCAAATATTCCTCCATCGACTGCTAGACAATAACCCAGGCGATCATAAAATTCTCTTCTGACATTCGCTAGTTGGTAAACTGAAATTCTATTGCATTCGGCAGAAATAGCATTTTTTAACTCGTCTAGTTTTGGGTATTTTTTATCCTTGTATATCCTGTTTTTTAAATGGCCCCAGAGAAAGAAATCATTTGGCGAAATATCAGGAGACCTTGCTGGCCAATTTACTGTATGATTTAGGCCAATAACGTTTCCGTTAAAACTATTGTCTAAATATTCCCGAACAGCCAAGGTACTATGTGCCGGGCAGCCATCCATTTGGTACCAAATTTCCTGATTTTCCCTAGCGGCATCATGTAAAACAGATAAAATATGATTTTCGAGTAGTTCCAAATAATATTCTGCATTTAAATTTCGCGTAAGAAATAATGGCCCAATAATATTATGTCCGAATATCCCTGCCCAAACATTTACTTTCTGTGGATATTGTGTCCTTGTTTCGACAAACCTGTGTTGGTTTTCTTTGTTCCAATATCGATAATTTTGAACATTGGGTTCATTATTTAAGGTAAACGTGCATTCGTCAGTGAAACATATATTTTTTAAAAATTCCCTATCCGTGTTTGCTCTTTCCATCATATCAAAACAAAACGCCTGCCGCCGTATTTCGTCCCCATCTCGTAGCTCTTGGTGCTTTTCATATTTGAAGGAATAGTATTTATGTCGTTTCAAAATTCGAAACGCTGTAGTGTGATCTATTCCTATTTCATCCTCAAGTTTCCTTGGGCTGATCTTTCCATCGTTCTCTTCCACGCACAATAAAACTTCCAAGTCGGTATCATTTCTTGCATCTTTTCTTTGTTCCTGCCTTGCTTCACATCTGCAGTTATTTATTAGGGTACCTTTGATCTCAAATCTATGAATATTCCTTGCGATTGTAGATTTTCCAGGTATCGGTCTATACGGATACAGAGCAACAAACATGTCCGACACCTTTTGATAACTATTTCCTTGATAATACCATTTAATCATCAATACTTTTTCTTCGGTGATGTAATTCATGGCTAATATTTTCGATATAGGTATGAGTTTTTAATAATAATAATAGAGCACTAAATAGATAAATTTCTGAAATGACAACTTCATTTCACAGTTATCTTTTATCTTGACTGGAGCTCATAAGTAAATACAGGGCCATAAGAAAGGAGAAATATTTAAAAAGAAATCGGCGATAACTCGTAAACGGGCTAATTAAAAATATCTAAAGTCATTCTTTTGAATGTTGGTTTTAGTGCTCTTCAATAAACCTAAATAGAATTATTTTCTAAAATAATTAGGGAAGCCAATAATTGACCCCATTAAAATTTACATGGGATTTCCTATGTCCCGCTCGACGATGCAACACCCGGTACCTATGCCTAGTCTTTTTGCAAAATACCGAGTTATTCGATACGCCTGCGACATATGTATACAGGGTCTCCCAGAAATAAGTGCAAATATTTTAACTGGTAGTATAGTTCCACCCCAGAAACACGCCTATGAGTTTTTTTTCGTAAAAAAAATGAAATTCGAAATTTTTTGAAAATTAAAAAACATAATTTCTTGTTAATATGGTAACATATGTGTAAG